GCTCATTCCTAAACCCTGACTGTTCTACAAAGCTCCGATTCTTCTCCGTGGCCTGATGTTTTCTTTCCCCTCTAGTTGCATGTATCCAAATTCTTCAAGAATCAATACAAGGCCCACATATCCTGTGAATTCTTGTCTCAGTTTCAGGTATCTCTGATCTCCCCTCTTCCCCTCTTTCTGAACTAACCTACATCCAATTTAGCAAGTAAAATATATTGAGCATTAAAATGTATACATAACTTTTCATTTATATGTTATTTTTACTTGCTTAAATAGACCATAATTTTGCAAAGGTCAGGAATTGCCTTTTATGTCTAAAAGTATCAAGTATTCTCCAGGTGTTAATAAACTAGTGGACAAAATGCAATGCCGTAGCAGCAATATGATTTGAATGGCTGAAAAATAACAGTTCGGACATTAACTTTTTTTCTTATTTTATTCTCTTATTTGTATTACTAATTTCAGGACCTCCAGGACTTCAGGAGAATATAAGTTAATCTTTATCCTTAAAGAGATATCCTATGGATTTCTCCTTATATCAAACTCTCTCTCTTTACCTATCTACTATAGGTAGCCTACATACACACTTTTTTCCTGTACCTTGCTTTTTCACATATGTACATAATTATATGTACACACTTTTTCTGCGCCTTGCTTTTTCACATATGTACATAATTATATGTCTATATACAATATTTCCTTATCAATTCACATATAGAGATGCCTCATTGCCTTTAAGGATTATAAAGCATTTCATTGAATGGATTTACTCTAACTTATTAGCCTGTCTCATACTGAAGGAGATTCAGTTTGCATCTGATATTCTGCAATTACAAACAATGCTGCAGTGTATATCTATATCTATATCTATCAATCTATCTATCTATCTATCCAGCTATCTATATTACAACGCAGATACATATTTGTGGATAAATACCTGGAAGTAAGGTTTCTGGGTCAAACCTATGCATATTTTTACTTCTGAAAGATACAGGTAAATTGCCTTTCATAGAAGTTGTACCAATTTGCACTCCTACAGGCAGTGTATAAGTTTAATCTTTCTGACATTACTGCTCCTTAGTGTACCAATAAACCTGGTAGATTTTACAAATACACTTCTTGAGGTGTATTCATTGTTCAAAACAGAAATACTGTTCCACACAACCAATTAATCCCTAAGCCTGGTTGATTCTACTTTTGAAATATCTTTGGAACAGGTCCATTCTTCTCCGTTCATACCACCTCTGTCCACTGTCTTCTGATGCCTGAATAATAACAATGACTTCATAACTAGGTCCCCTTTCTAGTTTAGCCTTCATGCAAAACATTCTCCCGCAGCACACTATGCGCTGAGTGGTCTTCATGGAAGGCACTCATTTTCTACATAAGAGCAGTAGAGAATACAGAAGCAGAGATGATGATGCCAGACAAATCTGGGTATGATTTCCATCTGTGCTCCTTGTAACTTATGATCTCAGGAAAATTAAGTACATTCTCTTGGTTTTCTTTATTTTTAAAATAGGAGCGTTAATACTCTTTTTCTCATAAGATTATGGTGAGAATTAAAATAATAATACATAAAAGGACTTAATATTGTCTGGCACGTAGTAAGAGGTGAAAAAATGATAATGGTAATGATGATGATAATGATGAGGAAGAAGAAGAAGAAAGAGGAGACACTGATTACCTTCCAAGTTGTTTTTATACCCGACTGATACCTAGCCCAAAAATACAGTCTTTGCAGAGGGTTGAGAAATCCCACACATTGAAACTTCAGATTAGCATGGATGGTAACCTTGGAGACAAGCTAATGCAAAGCTTTATGTGTTCTTTCGCTGCAGCGCAGCTGTCATTTTACTTGTATTAAAGCCATTTCATGGGAGGTATTAGTATTCAACTGAGCATGTCAGTAATTGGTCTAAAAGCATTCATCAGAGGGACTTGGCTATATTTATGATTATCATAAGTACCCACTTCCAAAATAACCCCTATGTTCAAATTATAGGAAGCACTTATCATAGGCAGAGAAATAAAGGGTTATGTGTCTTAGAGTAATTTTTAAATAAATTTAAAACACGAAACAAAGATCCCCTTAAAACTGTTTGAGATTATTTTCTTCAGAATAAATGACCGTACCAGACATTGTTAGAATTTTCTGAGGAAAATTCATTTTACTCTTATACGAACTATAAGGATGGCTTTTCCACCTGTGCTTTCACGCTTTGATCTCATCTTCTCTTGAATCATTATGTAGTCATAAGCTTCTCTGTTGCCTACATCTTCCAACTCCATCTCTTCCTGGTTCTATTCTGTGTCCCTGATTCTTTAACTCTTTCCTTGTTGTGAGTTCAAACTATTCCTTTTTCTTATTTCTTCCCTTTACTGACAAACTCCACAAAATATTACCTACATTCACTGTCTTCTCTTTTTCATCACCCTCTTTTGCTTTCTGGTTTCTGCTCCAATATTCTCATCACCAGTCAACTAACCAATATTTAATTCCAATAGCCTTCTGTCAGGTGCCACTCTCACTGTTCACTTGTCCTGAACTGTCTTTCTTTGACTTCCAGGATGCTGAAACATCCAGGCTCTCCTAATCCTCTCTGTTCTCCACTAATCTATCATGATTCCTCCGTTTCCTTTTATGTCAAAATTCTTCAAAGTTTTGTCCAATGTGACTTTCCCAGTAGATAATTCACAAAGTTCTACCTATGGATCTGATCTTTATTCCTGACTCCCAGAATCATTTTTTCTGCTTATTAATTAAACAGTTGCCAGATCTTGTGTTGCTGTTGTCGTTATTGTTGTTTTACTACTTAATAATATCAAGTCATTGTTTACTTTTTATTCCTCCTACCACCACCCAAGTTCAAGCTCTTATTATCTTTTGTCTTAACCATCTTTTTTTCCAGATATTTTAAAGCATCTAAAAACATATCAGCAAATAAATAATAAAGCATATTTAAAATCTTAAGATGCACCTGTATTCTAATTGAAAAATAGAGTAAAAAAAAAAAATGTTCTTTGGACAGTTTAGTGTTTGATGAGGAACATGTCATTTTCTGGAAAACACTTGAAGACTCTCCCCTGAGTGCTAGTCTTCTCTGATACATAGTTTTCAAATCACTGGCTGGAAATGGTTGCAGTGGCTGTGAACTTGTCTCTCACCCTCAATCCATATTAGAAATTAACTTTATTAAGGCAAAGCACTTATGTACACAAATTCCTTGTTTAGGAAACCTCGAATGATTCCCTACCACCTTGAGATCTTCTCCGATATTGTCTATCCTCTATTTTCTGGCTTGTCTTCACTCATGTTGGATTACCATTGTTCAGTGAATTTGTTTTCACCCTCTGCTGTAGGCCTATCACAGCACTCTGTACACGTTGGAACTAGTCAAAAATACTAAATTGAATTCTCAGTTCAAAACTCAAAATTTTCAGGTGTACATTATTGTACTCAAGGGTAGCACTTATAAATAAGCCTTTTAAAAAGTATGCTACATCGCAACTGCCTAAGGTTTTTAGAATTTACAATACATTTTGATGAGTCACTAAAGGTTCAATCTAATATGGATTGCCTAGTAGAAAGGACTGCCAAAACTCAGTTTAATTAAAAACAGAAAGAAACAAAGCAGCAGAATTTTTTTCTAAATAAATCTTTCAAGTGAAAAAATATCTTAGGCACACTTAACGAATCTTCCTGTAGTCTCAGAAAATAAGCATTTTAGTATTCAGAATTAACTTAGGAGAACTGGGGAAAACCAGCCCGGGAGCACAATGCAGTCTAGGAATGTAATATACAGTTGTTGATTTTCCCCTGAAGACTTGCCAGGCATGGCTTCAAGGCTCTTTATGGTTCAGCTCAGGTCACCTTGTTGATCCTCGTCTCAAGCTCCCCCAACCCTGCCCACCCCCTAAGGCCTGGCAACACCGGGCTTCATTTGTTCCTGAGTAAACTGAACACTTTCATGCCTATAGGTTTCAGAACTAACAGACTGGTCATTACGTTCCCACTTCTGGGAATGTCTCTCCTCCTGGTCCTGAAGATGTATTTGTCCTGCAAAGTGCAGCTCAAATATCAATAGCCCTGTTATTTAAAACCTAGTAGAATGATGACCCCTTCATATTTGTACCCTTCTCATGATATACATATTTCTACTGCAATAGTTACCACATTTCACTAGTGTTACGGTTTACCTGTCTGTTAAAGGTGAGCATTGCATGTTAATCATATGATATTATTTAACTACCTAAGAACTAGTTAAGAAACATGGACTTTGAAGTTTCTAGCCATGGGTATGGGGAGCACCCTGTGTTACACCAAATGGACAGACAACCAGAGAGGCGATACAGTAATATTTATTTAAAATATATTTGTAGGTATTTTAGAACAACTACCAAAGCCAAAGCAATCCAGTAGTTATGCACCTATCTGAGTCATACTATTTCCTTAAGAGAAATAATTATATCTTAAGTTCTTTTTTTTTCTTCATTCTTGTACTACTTAGCCTGGTTTATTATCTAGAAGGAACAATCAATAAATATCTGTTAAATTGATCTTAGTTGAGTTGCTTTATTATTATGGTCATGCAAATTATTGACTTTTCTTTCTTATTTTTCTTTTGTTTGACAGTGAAGTCATCTGCATATCAGAGACTCAAACAATAGATATAAGGAAAAACAGCCTACTTCCAAGAGAAGAAATCTTAAATGTTAAGACCTTCTCTGCTGATAACCACTAGTCAGCCCCTACATGTAGGCAATACCTATTTCTTAAGGAATATAACATCTTAGAGTGAGGCATTTTTCTCAGATACGGATTACAAGAAAAATATTTGCATGTCATTCTTCGCTAAGGCAAATGTTTTCTTCTTTTGGACATTATTTGAAAATACCTAACATCATCACAAATCAATTCATTTCTTTAAACAAGTCCTTTTGATAAGCCTGGAGAAGAACTGACTTTTCTCTAATAGCCTTTGACTTTCATTTTGCAGAGATCGACCTCCTTAAACTGAGGAGCTTCCATCTTTTGGAGCTGAACAGAAAGTGTCTCTAAACATCAGAGAGCATCACAGAAGGTTCAATGAAGTGCACAGTCACCTTTACAGAGGGATGATGTCACCACTGGTGAGATGAATTAGCAATGGAAAAATAGTTCAGATATCCTTCTGAGATGGAAACAAAAAAAGGATTTTCTTAGCATATCATCCAAATTCTTTTTCTTCACAGCAGCGCTTACTCAACAACCTCTTCATCAACTATTTTATTAAATAAAAATTAACTCAAGTCTCAACCCCAATTCTTTATGTTGTTCTAAGAATTCATACCCTTAAGAAATGAACTGTCAGAAATTATGACTCCTTGAATAATGACTGAATGCCTCCTTTGTCAGCCAAAGTTTTATGATTTGAGAACCACAGAAGAGGCAATTTACTTTTCAACATTTCCTTGGGGTATTCAGAGTTATACAAATACATAAGGTTTTCATTTGTTGAATTGTTTGCTTTTAAACATTACTTTAAATTCTCACTTAAAAGGTATGCCAGTTTATCTTTGGATATTTAATGCCCTGGATATTTTTTTCTTATCCTTTTAAAATGCCAAATTTTATCAAGAAAATTAGTATTTATGAAAATCTGTTAGCTCCTTTTGTCAATTGTTTTCTGTAGTTTACTGGGAAAAACTGCTACAACCTCATTACCAAGAAGCTGCTTCCTCTGTGATCTTCAAATGATGCTGACTTGCATAGTTTTTAAATCGTTTGTACCATTTTAGGCTTGAAGTTGAAGCTTGACTTCTTCTTACCAGATGATCAATCTCTTTCATCTTCTTCTTCAGATCTTCAAAGGTGTGTAGTACCTTCACAGTAGCATCTACCTGGTTTCAAAGATTATGATGATCTACACTGCATGAGACAAATTTCTAGCTTTTCAAACATACCATATTATGCTTGAGTGACACAGTGAAGCTTTCCAAAACCAATAATCATAATATAGCAGTGTGATAGATGTTTTCAAAACTAGAAAAAAGCCTATGCGTTATAGATGGAGACATACACATGACCAGGCTTATCTCTTGCGTTCACCCCTCTCAGTATACTTCCAATGTTCCTTCTAATGAATGGGATTTCCTAGACCTTTTGTGCTCACTAACTTTCTTCAAAGGCTTTTCCATTTCCTTAGAAGACCCTGAAATGACCCTATAAAGAGAACAGCTAAGCTACGATGGAAGAATACATTCTCCTACGTGGATTCACCTACAACTTAAAACACTTCCATTTTTGTACTATATACACTTGTTAGTTGAATTTCTATTTGGATAGTAAATTTTGGGTGAAAATTTCATACAATGTTATAGCAAATATTTGGATAGCAAGAGTCCAGATAGTGAGGGCTATCTGCTTTGCAGGAATATATGTGTTTAATAGTTTCTAATTTAAAATCCTAGAGTAAGAAACATTGCCCAACTCATTCCTCCTAGCTCTAGCCAGAATTAATTGCTGCTGGTTAAGAGCCCCTATTATTGCCTGTAAATGTTTAAAAAACAGAGGGGGAACATCCGCCAAATTTTTATCATATAAATAATTCCACTACAAGGGGGTGACTTCAGTCTACCAATGTGGCATTATTGAAAGCAGAGCTGGGAAGGGATGCTCACGATCAGCTTGGGAGCCATGCTGGTGTGGGCTGGCAAATAATCTGGATATGGGGTACAAATTGTGGAGAAAGAGCTAGCAGACGGGGGAAAGTTAACACAATATATAAAAAATGGAAAGAGAAGCACTCAAGAAAATTCTTGAAGAGATCAGGTGAATAATAGATGGAAGGATGAAGCCAGTACAGAAAAACAGAAAACTTCATCTGAGCCTTGACAAAAGGAGGTGAGGTTGGCTATAGATAGAGGAACATTTTTAGGTATAGGAATGGGAAATTGTGATACTTAAGACCAAGACAGTTCAGAATTTCCAATCCCCAATCAGGTGGCACTGGGCAGTCAAGATAGAAGAGCTCATGTGGGGAATAGTAGCAGAGGGTGATCAGGGGCAAGTACTACATAAATATATGTGTATGTGTGCATGCATATATTTGATGTTCCTATCTATCTTCCCCCACTACACTGGAGTCCCCCTAGAGAAATAAAAGCAACTTACTTATCTTTGTTTCCCTGACATATATCCTAGCTCTTTTAGTTTTCTTTTAACATTACCATTTGTTGATAGGTAGGCATAGGTAGACTGGATGATCAAATAAACATGGAAAAATACGTAGGTATTTCTGAAAGGATGTACTATTTTAAATATTATTTATTTCTCAATCTCATGCAAAACCCATTAACCTGAATTTAAATATCATATTTAAGGTATTTGTTGTTGTTGCAGACAAGAGAGCATTTATTTGGGGAAAAGTCACCTTAGTCCCAAGATAATAATTTTAAGTAAAGGTGCTGGTTATAAAAGAGATTATATACACATAGATGACATAAATACTGGAATCCCTCCCTGCTTTTTTATAGGATATGTAGAACAAAACTTTTAGCATAACAGTTGAATATTTTCAAGGCTCTTGAGTCAGATAAACTACCTAAGCTTAGGTCTATCACTTAATATCTTTATTCACAGTTTATGTTTGCTTATTTCTGCAGTATGGATAATGCAAGTTTATCTAAAGTATCTTTGAGATTACAGTAAGATTTGCTATAAACGTTTTTCAAATATCAGTAAAGGTTGAATAAAACAGGCTTTAAGAGAAAAAGTTTGAGATTTCTAAGATTGTAGTAGGCAATGTAACTTTATAGCATTTTAAGTCATTGCTCCCTGCTGTGTTCCTTGGTGCTTTTATATTCTTTATTAATTCATCCATTCACTGATTCTTTGATCCATATTTAAATGACTGTCACATGAGAGGCATTGTTCTATGTGCTAGGAACATAGCAAAAAAATAAGGAAAGAGCTGCTGTCCTCGTGTGGCTTATATCATACTGTAGGAAAAAAGCTACAAGAACAAAATAGTAAATGGATATATATATATATATATATATAATATCAAGAAATGATAAATGCTATGAAGAAAAGCAAAGCAAGGCAAGGGGCCAGTGGGTGATGGGCCACTATTTTAGATATGGTGGTCAGGGAAGACGCATCTAAGGAGGTGATATTTGGACAAAAAATATAAAAGGGAATGATTTAATCTTTCTAAAGTACTTATGTATTTTTACGAATTTTTTTAAGTTGTATCAAAAGTAGAAGTAGGGGATTCAGCAGCTCAGGTAAAACTATACTATTACACTTACCTTTGCTTTCTTAAATAGAATAAAACAAAGAAAATTTATTGGTGACTTGGGTGGCAGATCATTATTATGATCCATTTAAATAAGAAGCTTTTCTTTCCTTTCCCCCACTGACGGCTGCTCCAATCACAACCTATCTGTTGACTGCTGCTAATTGCTATGGTATGAAAATTCAGAGCTATGGTTAAAAGGACTCAGTGAAAACAGTTAAAATATTCTGACTGATGGTTTTAAGGCTTGCCTACAGAAGAGGTTTTGCTTGTAGACTTACAAAAGTTCCTTCATTAGCTCTGAGAATTGTCTTACAAACCAACTCTGAGAAAAGGAACATATAAACACAAAAGGTGATTTACATATGAGATCACAAAAGCTAATATTTATTAAGTGCTTACTCTATTTCAGACATTGTTCTAAGTACTTTATCTCAATTCCTCCTTCAAAAGCTAAGCACGCTCTCTCAGTTTTTCTGTCTATAAAATGGGGAGAAAAGTAGTACCTTCTTCAGAATTTTACTGATGAATTTATGATTCCCTACATATTACATTTAGCAGAGAAAGAATTAATTTTTTTTTATCAGAAGGAAGATAGAATAACATATAAAGACTCTGAGACAGAAATGAACTTATTGTGCTCGAGGCAGAGGAAAAGACCAGTATGGCTTATTCAGTACGTATATCTAAATAGCAGTATGTGCTATTTGCCAGAATATTATTGGTTATCTGTTGTATCTGTTTTATCCTTTGTTAAAGTTAAAGTCAATGCCTACAGCTGAACACATGCAATGAGGGGGGAACTCCCAAATAGCAAGATTTCAAATAAATTTCCTGACATGGAAACAGAAAACGTACCTCTGTTCTTACAGAGAAACATGAAATCCAAAATATGAATCTCCCTTTAAGAAGAGAAACAGCTTTAACTAACAGAAAACCGAAAAAAGCAATCACTTTTGTTTATTTCTATGCTGTGTGTAAAGTCCTTCTTTTGAGGATGAGGGTAACTTGGGAGGACAGAGAGTACTGACAGCCCTATTTGCTAAAAAGTCAGATCAAGACCAGATAGGAAGTTAAAAGAGAGAGAGAGCAAGAGGAAGAGAGAAAGAGACAGAGAGAAGCAGTATGATAACAGAAAGCACATATTTCCTTTCTAAACAGTCAATCTTTGAATAGATTTCAAGAAGAATAAAATATGTTTTAGAGAATTACAAGTTATAAAGCATGGATGGTTCAGGATATATTGACATTTCATGAATTATACTTGTAAATCATTTCAAACATAACAACTTACACTGAAAACTCTGAGATTTCCCACTGAAGAGATCAGGATTTGTTCCCCTAAAGCTATAAAAAGCCAAATTAGTTTTTAGTTTTTGAGATAGTTATTACAACTTTATGTCTTCTTTTTGTACAATTTTAATTATTGAAATACAAATGCTTCTGAGAGTACTTAAAGCCAAACATGATGTGGAGTTTTGTTCATACTTCAACATAAGATAAAGGTGATTAACTAAATTTCCAACTGAGACTTTATACTTCCACTCCCTTCCTTGCAGGAATATTTTATTTTGTCCCTTACAACTTGATGGAAAAGGTATGATTTCAAGAACATTTATGTTGGTTGAGGATTTCTGCGTCTATGTTCATCACTGATATTGGCCTGTGGTGGAATATTACTCAGCCATAAAAAGGAATGAAATTGGGTCATTTGTAAAGATGTGGATGGACCTAGAGACTGTCATACAGAGTGAAGTAAGTTGGAAAGAGAAAAACAAATATCATATATTAACACATATATGTGGACTCTGAAAAAGCTGGTATAGACAATCTTACTTACAAAGCAGAAATAGAGACACAGGCGTAGAGATAGATAAATAAACAGATATGGTATCCATATCCAACATATGGATACCAAGGGGGAAAGGGGTGGGTGGGATGAATTGGGAGATTGGGATTGACATTTATATACTATTGATACTATGTATAAAATAGATAATTAGTGAGAACCTACTGTACAGCACAGGGAACTCTACTCAGTGCTCTGTGGTGACCTAAATGAGAAGGAAATCCAAAGAAGAGGGGATATATGTATACGTATAGTTGATTCACTTTGCTGTACAATCACACAACATTGTGAAGCAACTATACTCCAATAAAAATTTTTTTTAAAAAAAGAACATTTATGTTTGGAACTTACATTTAGGAACTTGTATCGGTCTCTATCTGTAAAACAAGGAAGTTGAACTACATCACCTGCCTGAAATATTTCATAAAATGTCAAGCACTATTCCAATAATCTTTATTATTTATTACCATTGTTACCTAAGTTAACAAGCTTTAAGATTCTAGAATTGTGCTACGATGCTCTTTGGAAAAATTAATAAATTTTAAATCCCCAAATATGAAATTGTATTCCATATAATATTAACATTAAATGTATTTTGTTGTATTCTAGTTATTAGGTATATAACAATCTGTTTATCAGATATTTAATTATTTAAAATGCCTTAGTCACAAGTCACACTTTAATAATAACCTGGTTTACTCTGTATCTCTTTTTCTGTCTTTCTCTGTTTCTGTCTCTCTCTTTCCACACACACATATAAATATATTCCTTCCCTATTTTTAGAAAAATTAGTAAATCAAGTCTTTAATATTCTACTAGGTATGTCCTATGTTTCAGTGACAGTCTATATTTAGAAAATTCTCTGATTTTTATGATAAACTAATTTCCACAAATGTTGGCATATGTAGCTGAAATACACATTAAATAATTGAGAAAGAAATTTTTCTTCATTTACTTTTATTCCCTCTGTATTTCTCAGTTTATGCTACTGTCACATTTTACATAAGATCCTACTTTCAGTTTTCTTATTTTAGTCAATAAGCCAATAGCATGTGCAGAATACGTCTAGACTATAAAATTATTTTCTTATAGTAATAATTTCTTCCAAACTGTTTTTATTCATTAAATATGCTATCTGATAGAGATATTTTGGACTCAAAAAATCATAACTAAAATCTCATCAGGAAACAACAAGAATATTCATGAATTATCTTTGTACTTCTATGTTAATTACAAAACTAAATATTTTAAGCCATGCTTTATAACTCAGAGATATTTCCCAGTTAGAAAACTGACTAAGCATAGCTTCTTGATGTTAAATTTAAACACATTTGTAACATACAAATACAGTTTTATTCATGAAGGCTTTATAATATCCTATCATCGTGTTATAGACATTTGCCTAACAACATTTGAATTAAGCTCTTTGCCGAAATGACTCTTGCTGGCATAAGCCATTGGTTTATGTCAACACTCCCAGGTCATTACGGAGTCATTCTGGTCCAATGTTTATGATTCGAAGTAATAGGAAGTTTTTTCAACCTGCCACAGTGCCCCAAATCCTCCAATTTGGTTTTCATCCCCTAAGAACAGCTGTAGAAGAGTTCAACAAAAATAAAATACTTTCAGAAGAGGAAGGTGAAGTCAACGTAGTAGGCCTTGCCAGCGTCCCTCCCCACATCCAGTTAGTAATGACACCTGGTCGTGGGGATGGGAATGCAAAAACCTGGGCTCTAAATTAGTTAAAGCTGGTGGATGCAATTTCAATGCATCAGTTTGAATTTAGGCACAAGTTTACATGTGAAATGTGAAAGTGAGGTAGCAATATATTACAAAGGGATCAGTGGGTTAGTTATGCCTGGGAAACCCAATCCCTTAATGACTAGAGCCAGGTCCCTTGCTCCCCTAGGGAGTGACTCATAGGCCACCATTCAGGGCAGCCTGAAGAAACACACCCAGTCTCTGACTCTGCCACTGGAGCTGCTGAATGCTCGCCTCTCAATTGCTATTCTTTCCAACAGCACACAATGAAAACCTCAGTGTCCTTGGAAATCCAAGGGATACATGTCAGATAATGCCCGCTCCTTTTCTACACTGTCAGTCTGCACTTTGCCCCACCTGCATAAACTGTGATCCTTTAATCTGCTTTTTGACTAGCCTTCCTCGCCTCTCCCTTCTTGCCAGTGGGTCTAAGGAAAATGAGATTGGTATTCAAGTCAACTTTTCTATTCATATCTTGTCAGTCTGCATTATCTGGGTAAAAACTCACTCTTTCAGAGCAAAATCAAAGGCCCTGAACCTGGTTCTAATTCTTGACCCAGAGGATTAGTGTTTAATCAGATTAGGAACTAAATAATCCAGGGATCATTTAGCTCAAGTTACTTGCTCTGATTTTACTTCAGTGAATAGAGTACTATAGTGACTGTAGCCAACTGGGTATGATGGGCTGAGAGAGGGAGAAGAGACGTTAAAGGTCCAAATTGTCACGTCCTCTCACGGAAAACAGTATAAGCAACATGCAGCCTTTAATTACGGATGGCAAAGAAGGCAGTCTGAGGACAACAGTAGACATTCGTTCAAATATTTTTCAGCATTTACTGCAGACCACTGTTCAGTTTGGGACATCCAGAAATCAAAGAAAGACCTGATCTCAAGGAGCTCAAGGTGCAGGGTGGGTGACAGAGATGAAAATGAACAATTAATATAACACACAACTGTATGCCTGGGGATTAGAAGAGGAAAGTGGTGGATATAAAGCCATGGATCAGGGCAAGGGGAGGCAGATCTGGGTGAGCTTCCTAAAGAAGTTCATGCCAGAGTTTTTAAAAATTGCCAACTGAGGCACATTGAGTGAGGGAGGAAACATACGCCAAGGCCACAGAGAGACCATGGCATGTTGACATGGTTAGGAATAAGAATGGCTAAGGCGTAAAGGGTGTGTGTGTGTCTGTGTGTGGGTGTGTGTATGTATTTGGGGTAGGACATGAGATGAAACAGGAAAGGTAGGTCTGATGTTTCAAAACAGATGTTAGGCAGAGCTTCCCTGGTGGTGCAGTGGTTGAGAGTCCGCCTGCCGATGCAGGGGACACGGGTTCGTGCCCTGGTCTGGGAAGATCCCACATGCCGCGGAGCGGCTGGGCCGGTGAGCCATGGCCGCTGAGCCTGCGCGTCCGGAGCCTGTGCTCCGCAACGGGAGAGGCCACAACAGTGAAAGGCCCGCGTACCGCAAAAACAAACAAACAAACAAAGATGTTAGGCAACCTTTTTTAGATATAACACCTAAAACACAAGCAATCAAAACAAAAATAAATTGGAATTTTTCAAAATTGAAAAACTTCTGCATGTCAAAGGACACTACATTTAATTTTTTTTTTTTTTTTTTTTTTGGTGCGGGGGCCTTTCTCTTTTTTGTCCTCTCCCGTTGCGGAGCACAGGCTCCGGACGCG